CTTGTTGATGTACTCCCAGATTGACGAGCCCTCCTCCATCTTGCAAGTATACAATTTGGATTTTAAATAGATCCGGTTCGTTAGACTCTTCGTCATGAAGGTGCTTTCTAACTTCAACCACACGCCCCGTCCACCAAGAAAGCTACATCCCTTTCAAGGCAAAGGATAATCGACGCCCGTGCTTCCAGATCCAGCTCCTCCCAATCCTCATCAGACATATTTTTGTTCTTCTATTTTCCAACCAAAGCCTTATGTAATTTTTACGAAATCAGCGAATTTTTCATCTGCATCCTCCAATAGGAAAAATTATTTTTCCCATTGAATTTTTCAATCTCGTATTTTCTAACTTTACTTGTTTTACTTGTAGAAGCCATTCTCCGCTTGTCCGCTTCTCTCAGGAATTTCAACAAATACTTTGTGTTTTACCACACAACCACCACTTCAGATCAATAGCTCAACCACCGCCAATCTGAATAAGGGCTCTGATACCATGATGTCATACCACCGCAAGAATTACATTTGGACTCAAAAACAATGGAATCAATTATAAGACAAGCGTCAGGTTATTTTTGTTAGCTATTGATGAATGGAATTCGAAGAAAATGTCACATCAAAATACACATATCTTTGTTAGCTACTAATGGATGGAATTCTAAGAAAATGTCACATCAAAATACACATATCAACCGATTCAGACCAACCTCAAGATACAGATTCACAAACATTCAAGTTAGGGACTGTTTGGTTATATTCTATAAATAGCAGGAAATCAATTTTAAGCCGACTTTCCATGTGTTTCTTTATATTTCTTAGATTTTTTTTGTTTGCTTCACTCATAAAATGTGCACATAAAATACAATGTGCTAATTCTACTATTTGGTTGATAACAAAAACAAAGTAAGTGATTTGCTTTCATCACCTCCTCCCCTTATTTTTTCTAAAATAATAGATTTCCTCTCAATTCCCACCTAATAGCTCAGATTTGGGTTTCCCCAAATCGTGACGAAAAGTGACGAAGAAGGAAAGATGAATAATTCTTTTCCAACCCACCCTAACAGATAAATGGGAACAGTTTTTAAGAAGTCTGATAATTTCTACGAGTGTCAGTTGGACTTTTCCTATTTTTGGGCGGCCTAACCAAACAGGCGCTTAGTTACTAAAAGAAAAACACTACAGGCACACCATCTGCCACACCTCCGTTCACACCCCCTCTCCCTCTACAGTGCAGGGGGCCCCACCTGAGTTTTTTTAAAAAATCTCAGGTGGGGCCCCCTACACTGTAGAGGGAGAGGGGGTGTGACCGGAGGTGTGGCAGAGGGTGTGCCTGCAGCGTCACCCTTTGGATATAGAAATTAATAAAGGACAAATCAACAGCTCAACTTCAATAGTGACCCCAAATGCTTGAATGTTGTTAAGCGTGGCCAAATTTGGTAACAAAAATCTAAGTTTCAGTGGTTTTCCAAAAATAAATTACAGACATAACATAGACCTGACCATGCCAATGGCATAATTACAACATCAGCCAAAAACCGATAAGTTATGGTTACATATAAATCATCACATTTAAAGTGCCAGCACAAAAAAAAAAAAAACACACAACTAGAGTAATTTAACTTCGATAACCTGCATTTTTTTTTTCGCCAACTTTAGAGGGGACCAGAAAAACCAATCAAAAGGTAAGCATTGATGCCTACTAATTTGAACTGAAATAGGAATATTACGGGTGTTCTTCTGTCTACTGAGCTTTGATTTGTTCCGTATTTAAATAAAATTAAAAAAATGACGTATGGGCGGAAAAATAAAATCCTAGTTAAACTTACTTACACAAAAATATTAAGAATATGGAAAATCATCCAAATTTTTTTGTAGCGCATAAAGTTCTGCATGCTAAGATTAATGGATCATTGGAAATGGACGGGACGCTGTAGATGGCATCATATTCATGCTTAATGGTAACAATATTTTCGCAAGGGTAAATCATATCCTAATCATCATGTAGTAAACATTATTCACAAATATTGTTCACATGTAAGAAAACTAACAAGGTTACAGAGCCATGCACAGCTTACTTCAATTTATTTTTTGTGCGCGCTTAGCAGTTAGCAGCAGATCACAAACTCGTAATTTTCCAGGTGCATACCAACTGAAATAGTAATTGAAGTCAAATAGAAAAGTAGACGGTAGCAAAATCATGCGCCTTTAGCCTCCTCGGGCTCAAATGGATATCAATAGGCAATGCTTTAAAATTACAGTTCTCAGGAACGAATTGTGTTAGCTCAAGAAATTACCGCTTCCTCAAACTTCATTCTGAGGCGAGGTTCAAAGGATAGAGCCTCCTACTATTACTAGGTAAATCCATTGTCAATATGATCCTTTCATTTTAAGAAGACCGGTGCGCTCCTGAGAACTTGTTTAACCTAAAGAAGCTTAAATTTGTAATTCAGAATATTCATCTAATCTATAAGAATGATTCCCACACTTCACCGTATCTGCAATCTTCAATAGTGTATGCTGATATGCACCTGAGATTACTACATAAATATCAGGTACACTCGTGAAAATACCAAGTATTTGATCTAAAATGGAAAAGATAATAACAATAATGCAAAACAGTGTCGGTAGATTTAATACTTAATAATACTAAATAACACATTCAGTACTCATTTTTGCATGATTGATACACAAGTGGCTGTTTTATAACGTCGATTTTGTGGATTCAATACCTTTCACTAGTTGATTGGCTTGGAAGACAAGTCTCTGATACTGTTTTCGTTTATGAATGGAATATTTGTCTAGTTTATAATTTGTTAGTTGATCTTACATTTCCAGGCATTTATATGTGGTTTAATGCTTTAGTCATCAAAATATTATTGCACAAATAAGCAAATCTAGATATAATACAAAAAAAGAAAAAAAAAGCCTTTAACCAATATTTTTTTGGCCAGCTACATGGACTTATTCCATTCAGCTATGTTAAGGACCGTCTACTCCACAGATTTAATCATTATCGTATATATTTTAATTGTTTCGAACCAAATTCAACTTGGACCTATATTTAGTCCTCCTTTTTTCACTAATTATAACATGACCACATCTCCAAAATGTTAGAAAGCATAAGTGAACATCTAAAATGAGATTTTGATAGAAAAGGATATGAATTATTGTATTCAGAACACTGAAGCAACCAAAACATGAGTTCAAAGAGAAGTCCCATGTAAATTTGCAAGATGCCTCCAGAAAGGTTACTGACAGAAGGATGCGTTGCACAGCACAATATAAGGTTGAACCCCCACCCCCAAAAAAACACCCAACGAAAAAAAAAGGAATAAAAGAAAAAGGAAAAAAGAAAATCTATCAGACCATAAAAGATGAACAATAGCAAAGGTAGGTAAAACCACAAACTGAACCATGCCACAAAAGAGAAACTGTCGAGCAACTGGAAACGCGGAAAAATAAGAGTAAGTTCCATTGTAAAATTAATGTAGGAGTAAATATCGCTATCATACAGGGAACTATATTCTACACTTTGTAAAAACAAAGGGGAAAAAGTTTCTGCTGACATGAGGCGTAATGGAAGTTAAATTGTTAAAAGAAACTGTAAGGAGTTCAATAAACCTCTTTCAGTATGATCCCTAAAAGTGGTTTAAGTATTATTTTAAACAACCAAACTCAGGAGGAAAAGGAAAAGGAAAGAACAATAAAACTGAAATTAGGTACCACAGCATTATAGTAGAGACCGAACTTGAACAAAAAGCATGATAAATTAGGTAATTAGGCAAGGCTATACATGTACATATGGACCACTTAACCACATGCTTCTGAGTCTCATGTGTCACAATCTCACATTTTGCCAAAATAAGGAGAAGCATATATTATAGAACAACATATAATGCAGCAGCCAGCTCACTATAGTTATTTATCAATATATTTTGTACGTAACTAGTAACTAAGGCCCTAAGGACAGAAATACCCATTAGACTATTAGTTAATTGACTGCGACTTCTACTAAATAGTATACATATGCACAGATGAGGAGTCTATAAGTTCCATTCAGATTTATATTCACAAATAACCCCAGAGATAGAAGTTTTCTCGAACTAGAATATCATGGAAGAAGCCTACACCATAGCCAAGATTTGCAATTTTGATGGTTAACTATATCAGTAATCCTAGCATCCTTGCCTTATTATAGGCTGTATCCCAGCATGACGATGTTCAGATATAAGTATGATTTTCCGACTGTGAGAGATTTAAGTCATCTTCTTACCTTCTGGAGATATGAAATGCCAATTTGTAAAAGTTATCACAAATTTGCACCCCACACCTTATGCAGAGAAAAGATGGTGGAGTAGATAATAATATGGGGGCGATGAGAAAAGAGAATGAGGAAACAAAGGCAAAAGAGAAGATAAGATAAAAGGAATAAGAATATGTGGTAGCAACAGTTAGAGAATGGTGCATAGTAGTGATGCGCATTGAGGCGCAATGATACGCGTGCCTCGTTAATGCAATGCGTCCCACACCTTATGCAGGACGCATTTCCAGAGCCCCAAAGCGCCCAGCGCCCGAGGCGCACGCCTCAGTGCGCTCGAGATAACACTGCTTTTTAGTAGGTTTTTGACTTAACTAGTAACTAAGGTCCTTACTAAGGTCCCAAGGATAAGAATACCCATTAGTTAATATACTACGACTTCTACTCAGTAGTATGATAACATGCATAGATAAGGAGTCTCAAATTCCATTAAGATTTAAAATTCACAAATAGCCCTAGAGGTAGAAGTTTCCTAAAACTAAGATATCACTTAATCATAGCATCATAACCTATTTACGGACACCCGCTATAACGTTGTTCTAGAAAGCACGATTATATAAGTCAGTTTCCTTTCCTTTTGAACATATGCACCGCCAAGTTTAAAACTCACCACTTATGATGAGCAGAGCCTCCAGTATAGTCAACAACCATGCACTTAAAAACAAAATTTTAATTAAAAAAATCATCAGAGTCAAACAGGATAACAACAATAAATTGATTTGCAACAGTACAATAAATGAAAATGAAACTATCATTTCTACCAAACTCAAAGGCACACTAGCACTACAAACCAACATATTACTAGCAATGAATACTTGTAATGTAGCCTACTACAACAAGAAAACAACAAATGTTCAAGATATTAATCAGACATACAATGCATCAAAAATGGTAGAAACCCTTCATAGGCTTACCACACAAATCCGAGAGCAAGATCAGGAAGCAGCTGTTCTACATGTATTGATACCATCCTTGCAATCATTTGTCAGATCATTGAATGTCTCGATCTGCTTCTTTCCCCTCAAGAACACCTCAGTATCAACCTCCACCCTCATATACCCATCAAACTCAACAGGCACCTTATTATTCAGCTCCATGGTCTCCTTATACCACTCACTGTTCTCATCCCACAACTCCTTATAATCATCCAAGAAATGCGTAGTGTACTTATCCTTCAAAGGATCGAAAAACGAAGTATCAGGTTCATTGGTTGCAATATAAAGATTCCTCCCATCATCAATCTTCTGCCTAAGCGATGAAAGCAATGCATCGGGGGAAGTATCTGCAGCAAGATTAGGCCACATCTCCGTGTTCTTTGCCTTCTCCCCTCTCACAATGTGGACCGAATCAAAATCCCAATTCATCTTTGAAGCAATAGCAGACACTATCTCCATCAACCTCCTCGACTTCCATATCAAATGCCATGGCCGTTGAATCACAGACTCAGTCTCTCCTTCGCAAACCCGGTACCAGTAATTATCTGGCTCAACCTCCCCAAATTTCCTCATAATCAAAGTATCCTCCACATACTTCATCTTCATAGGAGTAACCCTAAAATCCTCCACGAGATACATGCTCAATTTATCCTTCTTCTGCCATTTCCCCCAATCAGTCCAGAACTCCCTCTGATCAAGAACCGAAGCCGAGTCCCTCAAATGCTCAAAATCAAAGTAAAACCTAAAATCCTTCCCTTCTTCATCCTGTTTTGAGCTAGTATACATCCCAGAAAGGCACATTGTGAGATCCATCACGAGGGTTCTGTTCAAATACTGAGCTTCACCCAATGCACACAAGAAACTCCACAGAAAATGATTCATACTCTTGCACCGATCACCTCCTCCATTATAAATCAGATACTTTCCAGCTCGAAATTTCGCCTCCGATTCAACCACCGGCAAAGCATCATTCACTGCCTCTCCGATCTCCGGCACAACAACTTTCTCCTCCTTTTCCTTAACCAACCCCTTATCCCCAACATAAGAAGTTCCAGCCTTTATCTTCTTCTTCTTCTTCGCATTAACCCCAGAATGATACTCACCAACACTAACAACAGAATAAGTACAATTTGCGGATCTCGAAAGCTCAAACCTTCTATAATCCTTATAAAACCCCGCCCTCTTTGCATCCTTCGGCCGAAACCTCCACGCCATATCACAAGTCTTACCGTCCTCAGCACCAGTGGTGGGCTTTCCGAACTTATAAAAGTGAATATCTTTGAAGAAATCAATGGCGTGGCGCATCATAAGATGAAATACCTGTTTGAAATTCAATTTAAAAAGAATAAACTTTCATTATCAATTTGTTTTACCATGAAACTATTTTGCAACCATCTTTCCATCAAACTAATCCATAACGTTATTAGATTATTCTGTAACAGCCAGTTCATTCGTTGACCTAGGGTCATACTGTTAAGATTAATATTTTTGAATTGTACTTCATCAAAAATTAGTTTTTGATCAACAAACCCCTCAAAATTAGTATGTTCGGATCAAAATGACTCCCTCCTAACAGTTAATGATGCATATCCTACTATTCTTTCCCCCAAAAAAAAAAAGAAAAAGAACACGTGATCAATTAAAATTCAAGAGATCTCCAACCAACAAATTACCTCGGGCAGCTTGCAGTCGATCGGATCATCAACACCATAGTTACACTCGTTAACCTCAGGCTCCGACTCCTCGGCAACAGCGGCGATGACAGCAGCGGAGGAATTGTAGGTGGCGGCGATGATGGTGAAGACGAGGACGAGGAGGACGAAGACGGCGAAGCAGAGGTTGCCGATGAGGCGGAGGGCGTCCTGGCCCAGGTTTTCGGGCCGGAAGCTCGACGATCGGCCCAACATTTCGGCCCAGATCTGGGAATTTGAGTGAAGGAGGAGTGAGGGCGACGGGGTTCTTTTCTTGGGTTTGTCGAAGATCGCGATGATGGGTTTAGATTGGGAAATGGACGGCTGGGATTTACACGGGGAGGTTGTCTTCGTTTATGTCGGTGGACCGCGGAGGGACGCGGAGATGGTTTTAGATCTGCGAAGGGGGTTTGTTAGGTCCGGAGGTATTAAATGGTTCGTGGTTTCTTTATTATGTGACGGGGCGGCGAGCGCCACGATGTTGGTGTTATTATAATGGTAATAATCAGGGCGGTACAATAGTGAGGGAGAACGTATCTAGTACACAGGGTTGATCGTATTAAACGTGCATTTAAAAAGTTGACTTAGCGGCTGTTTGGTTGGTTTCCTAAAAATCAAAAAAATGAAATCGGTACCAAGAAATCAATAAAATAATATTTTTATTCATTTTCATCCCTAAAACTCACCCATAACATCCAATAAAATATTATTTTTATCATCAACTCATCTCATTCCATCTCCTTTCTTACCTTTAAAAATAAACCAAACACAAGAAATGTGTCACATCATCCAACTCATCACATCTCATCTTATCCCATTTTTTTAAAATCACACACATAATCCAATAATATTGTGACAACTCATCTCATCTCATTAAACATTCCTTTCCATCCATTTCCTCAAAAAAACAAGAAATTGATTTCCTTAAGTATGTGTCACATCATCCAATAATATACCTCCAACTCATCTCATCTCATCTATTTTCTTATTTTTAAAAATGAACCAAACACAAACAACCTCAAAACATCATCCAATGATATACATCCAATTCATTTCCTTATTTTTTCCAACCCAACCAAACAACCTCAAAACAAGTTTTTTTTTTAAAAAATCACTCACATCATCCAATAATAAGGTGACAACTCATCTCATCTCATCTCGTATTCTATAATTTCCTTCTTTTTTAACCCAACCAAACAACATCAAAACAATTATTATAGGAAATAGGTTTCCTATTCTTTAATTTCCAAGTTTTTTTTTGCGAAACGAACGGACCCTTAAGCGGTGTAAGGGCTCGCTGAGCTCTTGTCGTGGAAATGAGATCATCTCCTCATGTATAGTGTCTTAATATTTCCTTCGTGGATATTTCCTAATGTATAGCATGAGGAGAGGATCTGGATCCCTTGTTACGGGATAACAGGAAGTTTGGTGATCGAATTTTTTTAGCACGTAGAAAATCATCGGGTTAACACTAGTCACAAAGCGCGAGCAAAGATTTGTTTCCTTGGAAAGGGGGGGGGGGATACCGGGTGGAAAAATCAAAAAAAGATTTGCACGTAAATCAAAAAGTTGATTGGAGTATGATGCTTACATAAAATTTAATAATAGAAGTAACTAGTAAATAAATAGGTGGCAAAAGGTCTTCTCTTCTATACTTGAGTATAGAATTCATAGAGATTGATTGGAGTATGATATGGGTTTATTATCAAGTTTAAATGACTACTGTTGGTGTAAAAATTGGATCTGTTACATTTTGTGTGTTGAAGTAAGGTGTAACTGCACGAGGTGATCTGGATCATGTACGTATATCACAGAGAGATCTAGACTGATTTGTAGTTACACAGATGGCAATGAAATCTAGTTGTAGCGATGATGGTGAAGACGAGGACGAGGAGGACGAAGACGGCGAAGCAGAGGTTGCCGATGAGGCGGAGGGCGTCCTGGCCCAGGTTTTCGGGCCGGAAGCTCGACGATCGGCCCAACATTTCGGCCCAGATCTGGGAATTTGAGTGAAGGAGGAGTGAGGGCGACGGGGTTCTTTTCTTGGGTTTGTCGAAGATCGCGATGATGGGTTTAGATTGGGAAATGGACGGCTGGGATTTACACGGGGAGGTTGTCTTCGTTTATGTCGGTGGACCGCGGAGGGACGCGGAGATGGTTTTAGATCTGCGAAGGGGGTTTGTTAGGTCCGGAGGTATTAAATGGTTCGTGGTTTCTTTATTATGTGACGGGGCGGCGAGCGCCACGATGTTGGTGTTATTATAATGGTAATAATCAGGGCGGTACAATAGTGAGGGAGAACGTATCTAGTACACAGGGTTGATCGTATTAAACGTGCATTTAAAAAGTTGACTTAGCGGCTGTTTGGTTGGTTTCCTAAAAATCAAAAAAATGAAATCGGTACCAAGAAATCAATAAAATAATATTTTTATTCATTTTCATCCCTAAAACTCACCCATAACATCCAATAAAATATTATTTTTATCATCAACTCATCTCATTCCATCTCCTTTCTTACCTTTAAAAATAAACCAAACACAAGAAATGTGTCACATCATCCAACTCATCACATCTCATCTTATCCCATTTTTTTAAAATCACACACATAATCCAATAATATTGTGACAACTCATCTCATCTCATTAAACATTCCTTTCCATCCATTTCCTCAAAAAAAAACAAGAAATTGATTTCCTTAAGTATGTGTCACATCATCCAATAATATACCTCCAACTCATCTCATCTCATCTATTTTCTTATTTTTAAAAATGAACCAAACACAAACAACCTCAAAACATCATCCAATAATATACCTCCAATTCATTTCCTTATTTTTTTAACCAACCAAACAACCTCAAAACAAGTTTTTTTAAAAAATCACTCACATCATCCAATAATAAGGTGACAACTCATATAATCTCATCTCCTATTCTATAATTTCCTTCTTTTTTAAGCCAACCAAACAACTTCAAAACCATTATAATAGGAAATAGGTTTCCTATTTTTTGATTTCCAGGTTTTTTTGGCCAAACGAACAGCCCCTAA